GTAAAAAAAAAAAAAAAAAAAAAAAAAAAAAAAAAAAAAATATCACACTGATACACCACACACAGCTTGTTAATTGCAAGAGAATTTAAAAAAACTGATCAGATTATACTACTATATTTTTATTCATGTTTGTTTCTGAGATAGGCAGTACATCTGAGGGTTTTTTTTAATTGGACCACCAGTTGTAGGAAAGGTTTGCCTCCCACCACAGGTACGCAGCACTTGGACTGGAAGAAATAAGAGCAGGCAAACTCCTTCATCTCCTGGCAGGAGGAAGCATGTTAGCAGAGCACTCGGGCAGAGGCACTGAAAAGGGAACAGCAGGCGCCCTGTAGTCTCACTTACAGGGCTAGAGCTCACAGTAGTGATATTTGGCGTTTACGTGGTGCCTTTCATAAAACCATGGAGCATTTTGCAAAGCTATAAGTTATTGCTGTATGGAGGAGAAAAGCCAAGATGCCTGCAGCTGCCCTCAGGCAGAGCACTTCCTGGGGAGCGCCGAAATTATGCCATGAGCTGGTTCCACCTCCAGCAGGTGGATGCAAAGAAAAAGCCTGCAGGATCCAGCCACATCAGGAGTTTGGCAGCTTGCCAAGATCGGTCCAGCTTCTCCCCACTTGCTGAGGCAAGGGTGAACGTTAGAGGCTTTGCCCCCCCCCAGGGTAGGCAACTGGGTAGATGGCACATCCCCATCACCCCTGAACAAACCTTGGGGGTAGCCACAGAGAAGTGCGAGCCAAGGTGTGGGTGCCCATCCGAGCTGTCACTGCAGGGCTGGTGATGCCCAATGGGAAGCAAAGTGGCTCGGAGAGGGATCTCTCTGAGGATGCTCTCACCATGGCTGCAGCAGCCACGGTGCTAGGTTACACAGCCCTGGCTGGGGAGCTGAGCATTTTGGCTGGCAGACATGGTTCATCTCACCTTTCAGATGCTCACATGTTCCAGTGAAGACCAGATGTTGTTCTGAGAGCTGGTGGGCCACTTATTTATATACCAGAGTATTCCTCTCAATATTTTAATCTGAGTTTTTTTTCATTTGGGCATCTTTCCCCACTGGAGAAAAACGTGGATGGTTTTCTTTACTACTTATGAAAATTATTTTTCAAAAGGGCCAATTCAGGCAAGCTCATTTTAGCCAGAGCACAAGCTCTACACCAAAACTTTTCTCGAAAAACTGAACACATTGACTCCAGTTTTCCACCAGAAAAAGAGACAGTAGACAAGGAGATTTAAAGATGTGTAGCAATGCACCACTACTTGAACACATTTAGAGGGATAAAATAAGCAGCATTACTTACTGGGACTGGTATTTACACTCTTTCATAGCCCCAGCTGAGAAACTTCCCAAATTTACCAGGCATGGAGATTGCACCTGATTTATTGATGCCATTTTTTTAGGGATCTCTTGGTGGATTATTTTTGGGGTAATGAGTAGGGCAGCAGCACACATTGACCAGCAGGAGAAAAGCATCCCACACATGCACACCACTTGGTACTCCTGCATACCCCCCCCATCCTTGCCACATCCCTCCAGGATCCCCTAGAAGTAAAGGGTGGTGAGGAGGAGGAGGAGTGGGAGGAAGAACATCACCAGCATGGCCAGGCAGGGGAAGGCAGTGGGGGTGGTGGGGGTGATGCGCGTCCGCGTGGCCTGCAGCGTTCGGTCCCACTGAGTGAGGATGGCCTTTCTGGCCCCGTTCCACTTCCCCGGGCCCATCAGCCGAAACTGGTAGGGGCTGCAGGGGCCAAAGATGACCTCCAGGGCCAGCCATGGGTCTGTGAGCAGGAGCTTCAGCACGTTGGGCTTCACACCGATGGCCGAGGCCAGCTCGTCCATGTAGGCGATATAATCCGTCTGCAGCGTGGTGCTGCTCCCGTACCTTTGGGGGGGAGAGGAGGGGAAAAAGAGGGGCTGCTTTAGATTTTCCCTCCTTTTTTAAATTTTTTTTTTTTTCTTTAAGCACAGTGAAGGCAGTCTGTCCTCTGCTCTCCCCCACCAAACCTGGGGAACAGAGCTGGCTGGGGGCCGCTGCTCCAGGGGACATGCATCATTGCTGCTGTTAGTGGAGGAATCTGACTCACAAGAAAACATTGCATTTTGAAACTTCCTACAATGCAATGGTTTCTAAAAACAAAAGAAAACATTGCTTGGGCCAGGTTCAGCTTTCACTGGTTATATTCATATTTTTAAAGTATTGCTTTAGTATAATATCAGATACACTCAGAGAGGGGGAAAGTAAGGCACTTCCATGGACTTTATGAAAAGAAAAGTGTCACTTTGAAGAATAATGATGGAAACGTTCTATTTCTGCTGGGGCCTCACCCTGATTGTGTGTGAATGACAAATGCTTTTCCAGCCTGATAACGCTCAGTGATGGCAAACGAGCATTTTCAGACAGGAAATCTTTCCATCATGAATTTTCCACCCAAACTCGCCTGATTCAGGCCTCTGCAGTGCCTGTATCCAGCCCACTTGGGGCTGAGACGATGGCAGGGCTCTTCTGCCAGCACAGGGAGTCCCATGAGCTGCACTTACCACTTGAGCTTCTTCCCCATCTTCTCATCAACATCATCTATCATCTCACTGACTGGGGGGAGCATGCACTGTCCTAGAAAGAGGAGGAAGAACATCAGCAAAGGGAAGCGATGCCCAGGAGATCTCTCCTGCAGCAGATAGGGTTTGCAGGGATCAGCTGAGCCCCTGAGTGCCTCTCTTCCCTTTGGTGTCAAGAACTGGGCTTGGGTGTTGAGGATGTGACAACACTGGCTCCCCTGTCCTTAAAGGTGTGCAGTGATGCCCAAGAGGCTCCTCAGCCCCACCACAGGTACTTCATCGATATCTGCAGTGGGCTGAAAAGTGACCTGCTCCCATGGTGAAAAGCACCCCATCACATGGAGAATCCATTATTGGTATTTCTGACCAAACCCCGTTGTGTTCCTTAGCACCCAGGCACTGTCTTGATTTTCAGTTTGAGCCTGCCCATTGCTGCTGGGAAATGCTGCTTCCCATTAACAGAAAATAGACCTTCGCCCAGCACATGTCCATCCACCTACCCTGAAACACCTTGACTGCCCAGCGGCACTGGAGGTCCACTGTTGGGATGATGGGTCCAAGGGACTGGACCAGCCCAATGACTGCCATGGTTGGCTTCTCGAGCAGAGGAGGGAGGATGCCTTTGTAGAGGGTGACCTGATTGTCCCTGCTTTTGATGATGGAATCATCCTCCATGAAAGGGTAGGAGTAACTGTAACCAGTGGCAAAGACGACTGCATCGACATCATCCTGCACAGTCCCGTCTTGGAACAAGACGGACGTCTCTCTGAACTCCTTCACATTTGGCTTCATAACCACTACGCCGCAGGCAATGCGGCTCGGGAGGTCGTCATTGAACACTGGCTCCTTGCGGGAAGTTCTGCAAGGGCAAACATGGTGGGGCTGTGACAGAGGTAGCTTCTGCTGCCAGCCCAGGATAGACACGGTCCAGCCTCATCCAGAACCAGCACTCCTGGGGGGTTTGGGGATGGATGGCCCCCATGTGTACCTGTTCAGTGGCATGAGGCCAAAGTTCTCATGCTTGAAGAACCGGTTCATGCCTCTCACATACAGCCAGTCACTGAGTGCCCTGGGGAGGATGTTCCCCAGCCAGGTCCGGAAACGAGTGATGACCAACATGTCCCAGGGGTAGCCATTGTCCCAGACACGGCTCATCACCCAGGACCCGCTTCGGGAGCTCAGGTAGACCTGGGGGGACAGCCAGGAAGGGGTGAGCTGCCCCCATGATAGCTGCAAGCCCCTGGGGGTGTCTCACAGAGGTGGTGGCATGTGCTTGAGCAGATGGGGTGAACCCCCCCCTTCCCCAGTGGTGCTGGTGTAGGTCCCCATACCTGCGATGCCACGGTGCTGAGCTCCACAGCAATGTCACAGCCAGAGTTGCCCAAGCCTACCACCAGCACCTTCTTCCCTCTGAACTTCTCTGGCTCCTTGTACTCTCTGCTGTGGAAGTAGCAGCCTTTAAACTTCTGTATTCCTGGGGAAGAGAACAGAAAAGGTCATAATTCACCCCAGGAATGAAAAGGAGAGGCTGTGCTGGCCTTGGGATCTCCCCTTCCCACAGATGCTGCTGGAGCATCCATCTGAGTGTTTCTCACAGTAGCAGATGTTTCCTGTACACAGAGGGATGCTGCAAACCCATAGTCGGATGGGATTTGTCTCTGGCTTCATTCAATATTTAAAGAGAAAGAGTGTGCAAGCACAGGATACCTTTGCACGGTATTTCTGTGCCCCAAAAGGGTACTATTGTAACCCCAACATTGCCCCGAGGCACCTGGACAGCCACACTCCATCCCCTTGGCATGGCTTTACACCCTTGTGGTAGAGAGCGACAGGGAAGCAGCTTTCATTTTTAAAAGAGAAGATGGCAAGGGCCTGAGGGGTGTTTTCCTGACCGTCAGTGCCTCAAGCCCGTGTCTTCCAAACAGACACCCTGCACAAAGTATTTCTTGCCAGAGAGAAAGTTTTTCCCAATAATGGGCCTGTACACAGAGAGGCAAAGGCTGCTGGGTAATGCGCATGACATTTGTGCTACAAATCATGGGAAAATGCCAAAAAGTGTTTTACAAAATCCTTTTATGAAAAATCTTCTATTAAAGAAAACAGCCTGAAATTATTTTTTCTGGGAAAGATTACCATTGTCCCTGCTTTGATATAGTTTGGATACTGAGTCTTTTTCCTTAAAAAGACAGGTTTTGATTTCCTGAACAGGCCCACATTCCCAAAAATATTGTTCTCCTTTTAATGCTGAAAAGGCATTTTTTTGCAGGGAAGAACATTATGATGGAAGGTATTTGCTTGGCTGTGTCCCAGCAGATGAATTCCACACGCACAGCTTACCTGGAAAATCAGCGAGGGGGAGGTTTGGGTAGACGTGATGCCCAGAGCAAACCATAACAGCATCAAAAACCGCCGTCTCTTCCTTCCCATCTCTCTGGGTCACCACCTCCCATTGCCCCGTCACAGAAAAGTCTGGGCGTTTTTTAACCTTGGTGACCAGGGTCTTAAAGGAAACAAAAGAAAGAGATCCAAGGGTGTCCGCAGAGCAGACCGAGAGGTTTAGGGAGTCAGTGAGATTCAGAGGTCCCGGGGAGCCCAGGAATGTTTGCCCCCATGATTTCATGCCAGCAGCTCTGGGGAGCACACAAAGAAGGGACCTGATCAGACCTGCTTTAACAAAACCACGAGTTTTTTTTCCCCAGAATATTTTCTCCCAGGATTTTCCCTGTGGCAGGGAGACCCAGGCATAGAGACAATGTCCCTTCTGCCCAGGTCCCCACCGCTACTTGCTGCCCCTCTCTTCTCCAGACTTTTTACCTTGAACTGTACGTGCCGGAGCAGGTCAAAGTGCTCGGCGTACTTGCAGATGTAGTGCTGGACCCTGGCATTGTGCATGTAGTTGGGGTGGTCGTCAGGGAAGGGGAAGTCAGGGTAACACATCATCTCTTTGCAGGAGTTGGTGAAGACGGTGCGGTAGATGCTGGCTCTGCCTTCCTCTGCCTGGTCCTGGAAGGAGAGGAGTGTGGACGTGTCCCATTACAGGGGCTGGGGGCAGGCGGCATGACCCCTGCCTGTCCTGGAGCCCTGCACCAACAAATCCAGATACCATTACCCCCTGGCCTCCACCTCCAGGCTGGAGCCAGAGAAAAATGGCAAAGCCATCAAGTGCAATAACCAAATAACCCCCTAGTAGCACAGAAGTGTCTTAACAGGCCAGGAGGAGGGTTTGCATCACCCAAGGCATTTAGGAGCCAGTTACATGCTCATCTGCCAGGGAAAGTGGAAACCTCAGGGGAAGGGAGCGCTGTGGAAGGACCATCTGCACATCCAGAAAGCATCAGGAGGTCAGGTGTGACACAGCTACACTTGTGCACATGGACACATGCAAAATATCACAGGAGACAAGTAATATGGGACCTCCAGTGCCCAGCTTCCTCCTGGTCTGCCTGTAAAGCTTCCAAAATCCCACAGGCGCGCCCGGACATCACTGCCTTGTGCACATGGTCTTGGCGATTGCACAAGCAAAGGCAGAAGCCCAGCAGGGTGCATTTGCTTTGGCACAGCAGCTTGGCTGCCCATGCTTTACGCAACCATGGGGCAGGTCTGGCCTGGGACGTGGACCGAGGCTTGTGCTTACCACCCAGCAATGCCTGTGCCAGCTGGCCAGTGTCCTGCTGACGTCTAGAATGTCAGGACATGGGGGATCTGCCAAAATCCCCAAGACCACCATGCATGCAGTCGGGCCCAGGCTGGCCTGGTCCAGTTCTGCCCAAAATGGCCAGCCCTGCACATTGCCCTGTCCCCATCGGGGGCGGGGCACCTGCTATGTCTGCCCTGACACTTGGCACTTAACAGCACAAAACACAGGTAATGCATTTCCCTTCCCTGAAGGCTTTGATGCCAGGACAGAGCTGGGAAAAATGCAGTGAGGTTTCTGCACTGGAAAATTAATATTTGGGTTGGCCAAATGATTACCAACTTCCAATAAAAGAAAAACCCCAAACAGGTAAGGAGCTAAAGTGTTTTTTACTTTTCCCCTCAATAGTGATATTCTGTTCTGAAATTCTCCATTATACATATCAAAAAGTATTGCCAAACTTTCTGGAGGAATTCGCTGAAGCCCTCCCCAGAAAAGACAGAGAACATGTGGTCCATGTTTTGAGGTGAATCAAATGTTTCAGATCACCCAGAACAAGCTTTCTGCTCTCCCCCTCTGCCCTGTGGTTTAACTCACATGGGCTCAATTCCTTTCCATACCAGCACCCTGAGCTGCTCCTGCAACTGCAGTCACACCCCAAACTGTCCCCTTGGCCCCAGCCTGCCAGCAGGTGGGCACATAGCACGAGATGGCTCTGGGTCCAACTCTAATTATTCATTTGGGCTCCTTTCTGGCTCCGTGGTGCATGGCCACTTTGTAAAAGCATGCTGAGAGCTACCTTCAGCAGCAGCAAGTGCTCCCCAAGGTGGGGTGACTGCTGGCAGCCCCATAGGGTGACTTTTGCAGGGCTAGCATTTTGGAGCCATCCCTGTCTCCATAGGCTTTGAGGGGAGTGGGAGCATGTCTTCAGTGCAGCCTCAAGGGGTTTGCAGCCCCTTAGCTGGGGAGAAGCTGACGGCTCCCTCTGTCTCCAAAGGAGAGTGGTTGGCAGTTCAGAGGGGACTTGGCTCAGCGAGCCAAGGGATGGCCAGGCTGTCCCCAGTGTAACAGAGGGGACCTGTACTGAACCAGCCAAGCCCTCCCACATGCAGCCATCAGAGCAGAGCAAGTGGGTGCAGCCTCCCAGCCCCGAGGACACAGGTTTCCCCAGCCAGTTCTGAAACCAAGCAGCCAAAGCCACTCACTGTGTAGCGCCAGAGACCCCCGACGTCCTCACTCTGCTCGAAGCAGATGGGCTCCAGCCCCTCTTCCAGGCAGCACTTGGTGGCTGCCAGCCCGCTGACGCCTGCGCCCACCACTGCCACGCGCCGCACCATGCTGTCCTGCCTGTGGGGGGAACACAGCTGTGGCAGAGCAGAGACCGGCCAGGCACACTTGCCCAGGTGGGTCTGCAGCCCCCAGCAATGCCCTGCGGGAGCAGGGCACCTCCTCCCCAGCACAACTCCCCCAGCTCCTTAAATAACCTGAGGGGCTTCTTGCTGATCCTTGCTCACCTGCTTCCTGTGCAGCCCCCAGGTACGTGTGTAAGAGTTTTGGGCAGGGTGGAAGAGCTTTTCCCAGTATCCAGGGGCTCTCTCAGAGAGGAGCGGCAGCTCAAGAGGAGCTACCCCAAAAGAGCAAAGCTCTTTTATGCAGCGTTGCACAGGAGGCAGGGCCAGCGCCAAGGGGTTGTTTCAATGAGTGACTTGCGCTGTTTGGACTTTAGCAAGCCCGGAGTTGTAACATGAGGAGGAGCTGTGGGCGCAGAGCTCCTAAATTAAGAAATAAAGTGTTGGACTGAAATTATTGCAAGATAGAACCCAGGGTCACTGAGCAGCTGCAGCCACCTCTGGCCTGTGGGACAAGCAGCATCTCTCATATGCGCACCCCCCCCCCCCTCCAAAATGGCACA